TTCGGTTTGGGGTAATATAATGTTCTCTTCTGCAGATTAGGGTTTCTTAACTTGTGAACTTAAAAAAAGTTGATAACTGTATTTCAATTTAATTGCTTTCCTTTGTAATCCAATATATTTTATTTTATTCATTTCTAGACATCACGAAGAGTCTATTACCTCCTCTAGACCCTTATGACACACACAAAAATTAATTTGTCCTGTTTTAATTGGTATTGGCTATTTGGTTAAGTCAAATTTAATGTTATCTACTGTTCCACTGCCAGCAATATCAACTCTTTGGCCATGGCATCCCATTTGTCTTTGTTAAAGACAAATACAAAATGGCCTTTGGTCCCATGTGGTTTTCTTTTCCATATTGATAGTGATGTAGTGAAAAAAAAAAGGAATGGAGGAGTGGATGGTGGTAGAAATCATATAGTTTTCTTATTGTCTGTAAAAATTGATTTAACTCTTATTGCTCTAAATGTGAGATTTTTGCCAAAAAAAAACCCCAATGAGGTGCTATCCTAATAGAGGCACTGAACCATGTGAGTATCAATATGGACTTTCTTTCTACAAATGAAACAAGATGACACTGAGAAATCAGGGCAAAACTGGGACACAAAAGATCTCAGGAGATAGACCAGACAATTAATTACATAAAATTTAAATGGTTTTGCATAGACAAATCCCATACAGCCAAGGGAAAACATTAACTGGGAAAAAACTTTACATCAGGTTTCTCTGATAAAGGTCTGATATCCAAGTTATATAAAGAACTGATTCAAATTTATAACAATAAATCTCCCAAATGACACATGCTCAAAGGATGTGAATATTTCTTAAGGGAAAACATCCAAACTATCAAAAAAATTACATGAAATTAAGTCTATCAATAAATTTATTTATTGATTCAAAGGATCAATAAATCATACAAAATTATATATGAAAAAATGCTCCAAATCACGAATAATCATAGAAATGCAAATTAAAGCAACTGTGAGGTTCTACCTCACACCCATAATTAGCAAAGCTGACAAAAATGAAAATGACAATTGTTGGAAAGGCTATCGGAAAACAGGCACAGTAGTACATAAAATGGATGGACCTAGCTATTCTGGGAGACAATTCAGAACCACGCCCCCATAATGACTAAAATAGGCATATTCTTTGGCCCAGCAATACCACTATTAGGTTTATATCCTTTGGAGATCAAAGAAAAAGAGAAGGTAGTCCCTGGCCTCAAGAAGCTTATGTTCTAACAGAGACACTCTAGATCTCATGGAGAAGGCTCTGCAGCATTCTGGAGCTGTGTGCAATCAGCACGGTGCTATCCACAAACAGAAGTGATATAGAACTTCATCATTTCTAAGGAATTCCTCTTCTGTCTGGACTTGGTTCATGTTGGGCGTTGTCCTGTCTTCTGCATGGTGGCTTAGAGTCAGAGAATCATTATAAAAGGTTATTTCTGTGATTGTCTGTGTCATGGCCTCTTGTTTGATCTTAATGTGTGAGTGAGAAACACACTGTTGGGGGACAGGCTGTGTTTTGCCTAATGCAGTCAAATAAAATATTTATATAATTGGTGAATGACAAATTTGGTGAGATCTTGTATTCCATGCACTTTCCAGCCAGCTTTGTGGCTGTAAAGATATAGTCTACTATGGAATACTTTCTGAACAACTGGCTGACTCCCTTTGGTGCCGAGGGGCTGGAGGCCAAGTGTGGTGGTCAGGGTTATCATTATCCCTTCCCAGCTGTTTTCCACACCATGCTACCTACCCACTGGCAATCATACTCACCCACCAGAACACAGGCCCTGCCCCTGAAACACGGCACCCTAACAGAAGAGATTTCAACTTTTTTTGCCCTGAATCAGGCCTCCACTTCACTTCCTGGCTCAGGAGTTGTGGTCATAGTAGAAGAGTCATTTTTTCCCTTTTTTTCAGGGTTAAGTAACTTGCCCAGGGTCACACAGTTAGTAAGTGTCTGTTCTATCCACTGAGCCACCTAGCTGTCCCTAAAAGGAGGGTCTTAAGCAGCATTCAGGCAGCCTGGGCTTGAACTGTATCAGAAGACAAGGTCAATCAATTCCTGAAGATGAAGATTTGCTCTAGTAAATCTTACTCACTGGGCCTGTTCTTTGGCTCCCAGGCCCTGCCCAGACTCTGGTCTATGAGACAATTATAGCAGTGGGGTATAATGGGCAGAGTTGGACCAGCCTGAGAGGGGCACATGTCTGGACAAGTTCAAGTTTATAACTGCAGAGATGCCTCACAATGGCACAGTCAGCTCATTTAGATGGTGCTGTTAAAATAATCCTCCATTCAAGAACATGCTAGTGCCCAGAAGGGCACCAGACCGCACTACAACTCTACCATTAACAGTGAACTATTGTGCCCCTTGCTTAGCCCAGGCAGACATCAGTTACTTTCAGATTTCTTCTTATAAGGCTGATTTGTCATGTTTTTTCTTCGGAGTCACTGTAATAAGCCTGTCCCACATACAGGGAGATGGCTCAGGTGACCCACTTAATGATTGGCCTGCTTGGGGTAGTTTTTCTAGTACTAGGGCTTGAGTGTCTCTGGCTTCTTCCTACAAAGAGATCACCGAATGTTTCCTGTAAACAACTGAATATACCTATAAAGTGGCTTGCTGGGGTTAAGGTCACATTCTGCGGCAAGTTAATTGTTCTACGTAACATAAAAATCTCTGCCCTTTAATTCCTTTCCATTCGATCCAATTCAATTCGAGCAGCATTTATTAAGTGCCTACTACATGCTAGCTGGGGGGGCTACCCAGGACAAAAATGAGACATTCTTCCTGTGAAGGAACATCTAATTGCCTGGAGGCAATAAAGGGTGTCCAGGAAAGGCTCCATGCACAAAATGCTGCCTAGGCGGCATCGGAAGGGAGGGATTGCTATGAAATCAAAGGAGGAAGGAGTGCATTCCAGGCATGTGGGATGGCCAGTGCAAGGCAGAGAGAGGTGTTTTGTGTGTGAGGAATAAAGAACAGGCCAACTGGCTAAATCTCAGAGTGTGGGAGGGGAAATAACATCCAGTGAGGCTGGAAACATAGCTTGGGGCCAGGGTGTGTTGGGCTTTAAAAGCTAAAAAGAGGAATTTATATTTGGGAGTCAGTGTAGAAGATGACACATAGATGAAGCATTAATTAGAGGGTCATGATCTCAAAAGCACCAAAAGGGAGGCCAGGGAAGGCTGGGAGGGAAGAGTGAGTGGAGTGAGGACAAAAGACAGGGGCAGGAAGGGTGCAGAGGGAGAAATGGAAAATAGGAAGCTCGTTCAGAGGGAACAACTTCATTGTCCTAGATCATGGATGTGAATCTCCTGTAGCTGATGAGATCAAGGAGACAGCCATCACTATGTACGGCTGGGATGGAATGAAGGCGTAGATCACGGAAGCTGGGAAGGCTGATCAACCGGAAAGCAAGGGTCATCAACATGGGGACATCACATTGAAGTCTCTGAGTGTAAGGGCAGAGACTGGGGTGGAGAGGAAGGCTATGAGCCGGCTAGCAGACACCTTGAGGAAGGCCTGGGAATGACCTGAGGACTGGTTGTTCTGGGTGGAGTGAACCTACAAGGAGCTGAATCATGGTAGCAGAAGAGGGGTGTGGAAATGGCAATAAGGAGCCAAGGGTACCCCCACCTTCATCTGGCCCAGTGTATTGGGGGCAGATGGGAGAAGGTAGACTCACTAATGGAGAGCACAGTTAAGGAGGCCAGGCTTCCATCACTCCTTCCACATCACTTCCTCACTCTTCCCTTTCTGGCAATCATGGAACCCTGATCTTATCGGCATCACTTTCTGACCAACTGTGCTAAACGAGCTACAAGTACACCTTCAGGAGATACTATGAAGATATTCCTTTCCAGCCCAACTTTTGCTCTTAATAGAGGCAAGATTCCATCTGTAGAATACACATAAAGATATGAATTATTAGACTTTTTCTGTGCGTCAGGCAGTGGGGACAAAAAGAAAGGTGAAAACATGGTCCCTACCCTCAAGGAGCTCTCATTCTAATGGGGAGACAACATACAAAAAAAATTATACATACAAAGATTAAATGAAAGTAAACTCAGAGGGAAGGCCGAGGAACACCGGGGTGAAGGGATGAGTGGGAAAGGCTCCCTGCACCCGCTGGGATTTGAGTCTTGAAAGAAGTTGGGGAAGCTAGGAGGCTGGGGTGAAAAGGAAGAGCATTCCTGGCATGGCTAGTCAGGAGATGGAGAGTAGCCAGCAAGGAGGTCAGGATAGCTGCATTATAGCACGTGTGAAGGAGAGTAATGTGTTAAGAAGGCTGGAAAGACAAGGAGGGGCCAGGCAGTGAAGGTCTTTAAATGACAAACAGAGGAATTTAGACTTGGTCCTGGAGGTAATAAGAAGCTATTGGAGTTTATTGACTAGAGGAGCCACATGGTCAGACCTGCCTGAGCTCTAGATAATCACCTTGATAGCTAAGGAGTGGATGGATGGGAGAGGGGAGAGACTTAATTCAGGGAGATCAACCAGAAAATTATGACAGCAGTGAGAGCCGATGAGGACCTGCACCAGCAATGTGAGCAGAGAGAGGGTGACATACACTAGAGAGACTGCATAAGTAGAAAAAGCCCCAGTAGAGTTACTGACTGTGTATATATTTGGATTTATTCCCCTCACATTTATACTGCATATATTCTGATGTGTATTTGTGGTCTCTCTCAATAGAATGTAAGCTTCTTGAGGGCAGGAATCACTTTATACTTTGAACTTGTATCCCCAGCCCTTTGAACAGTACCTGGTGCATAGTAGGCGGTTAATGAATGCTTCACTGATTGAGTGATGGATTAAGGTTACTTTGATGGCTCCAGTGAAGTGAATTTTTATAATGATACTCACAAAATAAACAGCTCCAAAGCTTCCATGTCCAATTTCATGTAAACCAACAAAAATGTCTTCAGGATCCTCCTTGTAGAACAGGTCTGCTATCTCTGGGTCCTTTGGCACCCCTTTGCGCATGGTGAAGAGTATTACGACCTCTGTTTGTCAATATCCCATTCAGTTTTTCCCTTCATTGACAAAGGAATTCTTGATAAACCGTCAGCACCTGAAGAGAAATATACATCATCATTAGCTTATTTCCAATGCAGATTTTGTTTTCCCCATCAGAGGGTTTAAAAATGACAAAACTGGTATACTTAATTTTTTTCCTTCTGATGTTTTTAAAACAATTTGTTTATTACTATATTTTAAACATCCTTTACTTTTTAAATTTTGATTTCTAAATTCTCTTCCTCCCACTTATTCTTCCACCACCCACTGAGAATGCAAACAATTATATCAATCATACGTGTGATATCATGGCACAATTGAAAAAAATGGTCTTGGTCGAATTATTAGTCAAAGCCATTCTGATAACTAATATTCTGATTTTAGGTAACTCAGCAGCTCCGAAAGTGACTTCTGCAATTCTGAGGCTATGTTAGCATAAAATGAAAGGGGCCACTTGTTCCGTTGCTATGGAAAACATCCTGTTCTCAAGGTTTCTATTAATAAGAGGGTATCACTTTTGATATTTCCAAATGCTGACTGACCAGCTTATCTGAATACTTTTGTTGTTTTTAACAGCGCTATTTTTTAAAGGGGAAAAAAATAAAGTATAGCTTTTCACATAGCTTGTCATAAACAACCCCCAAAGTATTTAACTGTCAAACTCATCACATGAGACTCATGGAGGGCCCTGGTTTCTTCCCCTTTTAACAGATCTGCTAATTTTTACAGCTTTCTCTGAGTTAAAAAAAAAAAAAGGAAACCAAACAGTCCCTCACATTGGTTTAAGAAGCAAATATATAAAATGCTAAAGTCATATAACCTCTTTCACAGCACTGAATAAACAAATTAAGATTTTGACCAGATGCCAGTAATGATGCATTTTGGACTTCCTGACCCCACAAAGACAATCCATGATTGGGGCAGGTTCATAACCATCAAGCAGCCCCACTATACCTTCTTGCCACTTTCAAGAACAGGGAGGTGGCACAATGTATCCATTTAATGAGTTTGGACATGGAGTCATGGAGATCCAAATTCAAATCCTGCCTCAGATATTTATTAGCTGTGTGATTCTGATTCTGAGCAAGTCACTTAACCTCCTCCTCCAACCTCAGTTTCCTCATTTAAAAAATGGGGATGATAATAGTAGCACTTACTTCCCAGGGCTGTGAGAATCAATGGAGATTATATATAATAAAAAAACACATTCCAAACCTTTAAATAATACGTAAACGTCAGCTTTTATCCTTTATTTGTTGAGGCAGGTTTTGGTGTGATTAATTTTTGAGAAAAAGCTCAAACTCCACAAGTCCCACACTCAACTTATTCTCTTTCCCCCTAAACCTGCTCCTCCTGTCTCTGTCTCGGACCCCGCTATTTATCCAGTATCCCATGTCTGTAAAATGACAGATATTTTTGGACCCCTCTCTCTTTCTCTCTCTCTGATCTCTTGTATACTCAGTTGCCAAGTCCTGCCAATTCCATATCCATAATATCCATTGAATCTGGCCTTGAGGGTCCCTTAGACCCCTTCAGTTCTGGATCTCTGATCTTTTTTTTTTCCCTCCTCAATTCAATAACCATTTTTAAAAAATTCAAATATTTCATTATTTTCCAAGTACACATAAATTTTTTTTAACATTTACTTTTTAAAAATTGAGTCCAAATTCTCTTCTTCCTTCCTGTCCTTCAACATTCCTAAGATGGCAAGCAATTTGACATACGTTATACATGTTCAGTCATGCAAAACATATTTTTATATTAGTCATGTGAAAGAAAATAGACTAAAAAAAATCCGAAGAGAAATAAATTAAGTTAAAAAAATTGTGCTTCAGGGCAGCTAGGTGGCACAGTAGATAGAGCTCTGGCCTTGGAGTCAGGATGATCTGAGTTCAAATCCAGCCTCAGACATATGACACTTACTAGCTAGACAAGTAACCCCAACTACCTCATCAAAAAATAGAAAAAAAAAAGCAAAAAAAAAGTGTTCTTCAATCTGTATTCAGACTCCTTCAGTTCTTTCTCTGGAGGCATATAGCATCTTTAATCATGAGCCCTTCGGAATTGTCTTAGATCATTGTACTGCTGAGAATAGCTAAGTCACTCACAGATGATCATTGTACAATATTGCTCTTACTGTGTTACTGTGTACAATGTTCTGCTGGTTCTTCTCACTTCACTTTGCATCAGTTCATGCAAGTCTTTCCAGGTTGTTCTGAAAGCATCCTGCTTTTCATTTCTTATGACACAAGAGTATTCCATCATGATCATATACCACAACTTGTTCAGCCATTCCCCAATAGATGGGAATTTGAGAAATGAAGCCTTTCTCAGAGACAATTGTAAGCATTTTCCCTCAGTTTTCTGCTTTACTTCTAATCTTGGTAGTAATTCAATTTAATGTAAACAAAATTACTCATTTTACAACCCATTATATTCTCTATCTTATTTGGTTACAAATTTTCCATACAGATTATCCATAGATATGATAAGCAAACTATTCCATGCTTCCCTAATTTGCTATGGTTATCACCTTTTATGTTTAAATCATGCACTCATTTTGACTTTATCTTGGTATGTAGTATGAGATTTTGGTCTACGCCTAGTTTCTGCCATACTATTTTTCAGTTGTCTTAGTAGCTTTTGTCAGATAGTAAGTTCTTGTTCCAAAAGCTTTGATCTTTGGGTTTATTAAACACTAAATTACTATGGTCATTTGCTACTATGTATTATGTACCTAATCTATCCTACTGATCCACCACTCTATTTCTTAGACAGTACAAGACTGTTTCATATACCACTTTATAATACAGTTTGAGATCTGGTATGGGTAAGCCACCTTCCTTCACATTTTTTTCCATTGATTTCCCCTTGATGTTCTTGACCTTGTGTTCTTCTGGAAGAATATATATTTTTTTCTAGTTCCATAAGTTTTTGGTAGTTTGGCATGGCACTGAATAAATGTATTAATTTAGGTTAAATTGTCATTTTTATTATATTGGCTCAGTCTACCGACGAGCAATTAATATTTTTCCAGTTGTTTAGATCTGACTTTATTTGTGAGAAAAATATCTTCTAATTGTGTTCATATAGTTCCTGGGTTTGCCTTGGCAGGCAGACTCTCAAGTATTTTACATTGTCTACAATTATTTTAAATGGAAATTCTCTTGCTGCTGGACTTTGTTAGTAAGAATATAAAAATGTTCATGATTTATGTGAGTTTATTTTATATACTGCAACTTTGCTAAAGTTGTTAAATATTTCAAATAATTTCATTATTCTCCCAGTCATATCACCTGAAAAGTCATATTATTATATCGTCTGCAAAGACTGCTGGTTTTGTTTCCTCATTGCCTATTCCAATTCCTTCAATTTCTTTTTTTTTTTACTGCTATAATTAGCATTTCTTTTTTTATTTTTATTTTTATTTTATTTTTAGGCAATTGGGGTTAAGTGACTTGCCCAGGGTCACACAGCTAATAAGTGTCAAGTGTTTGGTCTGAGGTTAGATTTGAACTCAGGTCTTCTCGACTTCAGGGCTGGTGCTCTTTCCATTGCATCACCTAGCTGCCCCTAAGATTAGCATTTCTGGTACAATATTGAATAATAATGGTGATAATGGGCATCCTTGCTTTACTCCTAACCTCACTCAGAAGACTTCTAGCTTATTCTCACTACAGAAAATGCTCGTTGGTGGTTTTAAATAAATACTACTTATTTTAAGGAAGGCTCCATTTATTCCTCTGCCTTCTAGGTTTGAATAGGAAAGAGCGTTTTATTTTGTCAAAAGATCTTTCTGCACCTATACAGATAATCATATGATTTCTGTTGGTTTTGTTATTGACATGGTTAATTATGCTGATAGTTTTCTTTATTTTGATAAAGCCCTGCATTCCTGGTATAATTCTTACCTGGTCATAGCATATGATTCTTGTGACATGTTGTAATGTTCTTGCTAGTATTTTATTTAAAATTTTTACATCAATATTCATTAGGGAAATTGGTCTATAATTTTCTTTCTCTGTTTTTGCCCTTCCTGGTTTAGGTATCAGCACCAGATTTGTGTCACAAAAGGAATTTGGTAGGACCCTTTCTTTGACTATTTTTTCAAATCGTTTATGCAGTATTGGAATGAATTGTTCTTTAAATGTTTTGTAGAACCCATTTATGAATACATCTATCCCTGGGGATTTTTTCATAGGGAGTGTATTTATGGCTTGTTCAATTTCTTTTTTGAAGATAGGGTTATTGAAGTAGCCTATTTTCTTTTGTTAATCTGGTTAATTTACATTTTTGTAAATATTCACCCATTTTACTTAGAATGCTAGATTTATAATTGGGCAAAATAGCTCATAATAATTACTTTAGTTTCATCTTCATCAGTGGTAAACTAATCCTTTTCATTTTTGCTACTGGTAATTTGTTTTTCTTCTTTCTTTTTTAAAAAATAAAATTAACCAATGGTTTATCTATTGGTTTTCTTCATAAAATCAGTTCTAGTTTTATTTGTTTGTTCAATAGTTTTCTTGCTTTCAATTTTATTAAATGCTCCTTTGATTTTCAAGATTTCCAATTTTGTGTTTCATTGAGTTTTAATTTGTTCTTTTTCTAGTTTTTTGAGTTGTATGCCCAATTTATTGATCTGCTCTTTCTCTATTTTATTGATGAAAGCATTTAGAGAAAAAAATTTCCCCTAAATACTGCTTTGGTTGCATCTTATAAATTTTGGTATGCTGTCTCATTGCTATAATTCTTTTTTATGAAATCATTGATTGTTTCTATGATTTGTTCTTTGATCCACTCATTCTTTAGGATTAGATTATTTAGTTTCCAATTAATTTTTAATCAGATTCCATAACCTTTTATAGAATGTAATTTTTATTGCATTATAATCTGAAGAGGATGCATTTTTCTGTATTTGGTTGTGAGGTCTTTATGGCCGAATACATGGTCAATTTTTGTGTCAGTGCCATATACTGCTGTGAAAAAGGCATATTCCCTTCTATTCCCATTCAGTTTTTTCCAGAGGTCTATCATATCTAACTTTTCAAAAAT